CTTCTCTTTTCCCTGGCTGATTTTAGGATTCTCTACTTGTCTTTGATTTTGGATAGTTTGATTATGATATGTCCTGGTGATTTTCTTTTGGGGTCTATTGTTCCTGGGGTTCGTTCAGCTTCTTGAATGTTTACCTTCTCATCCTTCAAGATGTTAGGAAAATTTTCTTCCAGAAGCTCTTCAACTATCTCTTCTAAAGACTTCTGTGATTCTTCCTGTTCTGGGATGCCAATAATTCTTAAATTATTCCTCTTCATGTAATCCAGCATGAATCTTAGACTCTCTTCAGATTTTTAATCCTTTTTTCTGCTTGCTCTTCTATCTTAGCAGTATTAAGAAGTTTGTCTTGCAATCACTGATTCTGGCTTCCATCTCTTCCATTCTACCCTTTTGCCCTTTTAGTGTATTGTCCATTTCTGATATTTTATTATTAATCATCCTGACATCTTTTTGCAGGTTTTGGATTGTTTCCAATGCTGTATCTATCTTGTCTGATTGCTCCTGTAGCACATTCATGACTTCTTCCTTATTTTCCTCCACCCCTTTGTGGAGCATTTGAATTTATCTCCATATCATTCTTCTGAATTCCTTCTCATGCAGATCCAGAGCCTGTTCTTCTACTGGAAAGTCTGTGTCTGCTTCTAGCTCATTTGTCTCAGTTACTTTTTTCTGTTTTGGGACATGTGTTGAGATTTTTAATTGTGTTTTCTTGGACATTTTCAGCAGTTATGTGGGGGTTTAATGCTTAAATGGATGTATGCTGCTTTGTTGTTAAGCTTTCTGAGAGTCTCCTGGTGGATATGATCTAGAGATAGGCTTCCCTTTTCATGTATAATGCCTAGCAACCAGTTTTGGCTCTCGTCCAGATGGTGGGGTATTACAGGGTATGCTTGTAGCTTGGCTATATGGGCACAGTTGATGTCTCTTCTTGGGTAAGGTAGGAGGAGAAAGTTCCAACCCCTGGGAGAAGAGTGAGGCCAAAAAGACCAAAGACAGAAACAATACAAAAGCAGAGACAGAAACCACAAATCAAAAACAAAAATAAGGTTGTGACTGACACTGTCCACTGACCTTTGCTGTGCAGGCAGAGTCAACTTCGGGGCTGGATCCCTGAGTCAGACGTCATAAGAAGCACTGTTTGGGTTTCTTTTCTGTGTTATTGGAAAACTGTGGGGGTGTTCTCCTGCCTGCACGAAGGTGTCTGGGCTGGGAAGTAAGGGTGCAGTTGGAGTGAAGAGGAAAGATACGTGAAAAATATAAAGTGAAAGATGACAAATCGGTCACACCTCTCCCTCTAGGAGTGCAGCTCCATGGCTTCTAGCACTGGGTCACTGCCTCCACTTGGCTGTGGCCCCTCACACCAGCCTAAGAACTTCTGGCTGCCAGTCGCCATGGCTGGGTCGATTCAGAAATCACCGTATTTTGCTTTCACGGAAGGATTTCTTCACAGGTGGGCATGGGAAGCTGACACCCAGAACCTTAAACAAGATCTAAAGCTCCGCAACTATTTTGTGAGCCACTCTTTCTCTGCTTTTTGGGGCGTTTTAGCAGAGGAACTTTCAATATCTGTCTCTGCTTACCCACCCCAAAACCAGAAGTCCTCCTTCCATATTCTTTTGATGCTTTCTACATCATTTAATGGAGTCCTGGTGTGGGGCTGTGGGTTAATGCGCCAGACTGCAAAGCCATTTGAACTGCAAGGTTCAAGCTCACCAGCTGCTCCTCGGAAACCCTATACAGCGTAACTATGGGTTGGAACTGACTCGACGGCACTTAGCAACATCATTTAATATTTTGCCCATAGACCCCTTCAATAGTGCAAGTTGAGGACTGAATTTTTCTCCAGTTCTTTCAGCTTGAGACATTCTGAGCCTGGTCTTCCTTTTGGTTTTCTAACTCCAGATCATTGCACATGTAATTATAATACTTGACTTTGTCTTCTCGAGTTGTCCTTTGAAATTCTCTGTTCATCTCATTTACTTTCTTATTTCTTTCATTTGCTTCATCTTCTCTACACTCAAGAGCAAGTTTCAGAGTCTTTGCTGACATCCACTTTGGTCATTTCTTTCTTTTCTGTCTTTTTAATGACCTTTTGCTTTCCTACTGTATGATGTTCATGATGTCATCCCATAACACTTCTGATCTTCGGTCATTAGTATCTAATGCATTAAATCTGTTTTTTAAATGGTCTTTAAATTTAGATGGGCTATAATCAAGGTTGTATTTTGGCTCTTGTGAACTTGTTTTAATTTTCTTCAGCTTCAGCCTGAATTTGCCTAGAAGCAATTGCCGGTCTGTTCCATAGTGTGCACCTGACCTTGTTTTGGTTCATGCTATTGACTTTCTCCACTGTCTATTCCCACAGATGTAGTCAGTTTGATTCCTGTGTATTTAAACTGGTAAGGCCCATGTATTGTTTAAAAAGGTATTTGCAATGAACAAACAAATCTTCGGTCTTGCAAAATGTATCATGCAAACTCCAGAATCAGTTTTCCAACTACTGATCCTTCCTCTTTCTTTCCAATCTTCACATTCCAATCATCAGTGCATCTTGATTGTATATATGATCAATTTCATATTGAAGAAGTTGGTCGAATTCTTCAGTTTCATAATCACTGGCTTTAGCCGTTTTGGGGGAGTATATTTGAATAATAATGGTATTAACTGGTCTCCCTTGTAGGCATATGTTCAATATGCTATCACAGACAGCATTATACTTCAAGACAGATCTTGAAATGTCCTTTCTGATGATGAATGTGATGCCATTCCTTTTCAATTTCTCATTCTTAATGTAGTAAACCATATTATTATTTGATTCAAAATGGCTATTACCAGTTCATTTCAGCTCACTAATGTCTAGAGTATCAATGTCTGTGTATTCCATTCCATTTCTGACAATTTCCAATTTTCCTACATTCATACTTCGTACATCTCATGCTCTGATTATTAATGGATGTTTATAACTGTTCCTCCTTATTTTGTGCTGACAGCACAAATGAAAGTCATGAAACCTTTGCTCCATTCACATCATTATTGTCAACTCGACTTTGAGGAGACACTTCTTTCCCAGTCACATTTTGAGTGCCTTCCAAGCTGAGGGGCTCATCTTTCACCACTATGTCCAAAAATATCCTGGTGCTTTTCAAAATGTTTTCATCTTCTAGCACTGTATCTGATAATGTGCCACTGATATTTATAAGATTTTCTGAGGATAAACAGTCAGAAGTAGTCTACCTCTTCTTCATTCTAGTCTGTCTAACTTCTTTCAGGAAGCTCCCCTGAAACCAGTCTAATATGGGTGACCCTGCTGGTATTTAAAATAATGGTGACATAGCTTCCAGCATCACAGCAACATGCAAGTCACCACAATATGACAAAGTCACAGACTAGTGGCAGTTGCTTATGCTAGGCAATGCAAAAAGGAAATCCCTCTTAATTTCTATTTGGATTTTAGAACAACTCGGTATGGAAGGTTATATTTCACTCATTCAAACAAGCAGATGGTCTCATATTTGTCATATGTACCTAAGGTCAGGTACAGTGTCTTGACTATAGCAGAAATGACGTGTGCACAGGTTTGCATGCATATTTTTTTGTGTGTGTTTGTTTGTATTTTTCTGAGAAGATATAATAAGAAACACTAGTCAGAATGAGGCCAGGAAAGGAATAAAGCTGATATAGGTATGTTAATGAGCAGGTGACCACTGTGGGCAACTAGAGCTTGGGAGCCAGTGATGAACTTTGCAGAATGCAACTTAGAATTATCCTGCCAAGAAATAGGGAAGCTGAAGGATTCAGCTACTGATTTCTAAAAGTTACTAGCTGGGAGTTACCTCTGTTGTAGCTGTTGAGTTGATTTTGATCCATATCAACCCCATGTTATAAAATAAAACTTCCCCCCATAGGGGTTTCCTTTGCTGTAATCTTTATAGAAGTAGATAACCAGGACAAAGTTTTGGTTAGCAGTTGAGTGCTTCCCCATTGGGGCCTTAAATCCTCAGTAAATTCAGGTTGCCCTCCCATGAGCTGAGCCAGCTCACATATGGAGTACTTAATGAAAAAAAAACACAGACACTAGAAGTGGGAAGCTGTCAGCATGCCAGGAACTGCCCATCCTGGCTGCAAGTCAAGTCAGAAGTGAGCCAAGAAGATATGAAGGAGGGTATTTGATAGTGTGTACTACAGGAAATATTCTTAATTCAAAATAGAGGAAAGGCCCAAAGTAGGATTAGAAAGGTGAGTGAGGGCCTTTAACTATTGCCCCACTGAAAAGAAATAATAAACCAACTACAGCCTCCACTACCCTGAGACCAGAAGAACTAGATGGTACCTCTACCACTACCACCACTCTGATCAGGATCACAATAGAAGTTCCTGAACAGAGAAGGAGAAAAAGAATGTAGAACAAAATTCAACAGTATAAAAAGGACAAGACTTACTAATCTGATAGAAACTGGTGAGGTTCCTGAGACTGTGGCCCTTAGACACATTTCATGCCTGGAACTGAACCCACCCCAGGAATCAACTTTCAACCAAATGAAAGACAGGCCTGTAAAGTGAAGAACAGCACCAGGGTAGAATGTGCCACCAACCACACGAGATCAAAATGACAGCATTTGCCCAAAACCAAAGCTCAGAAGGCAGCAAAGATGAACTATGGAAATGGGGAACCCAGAGAAAAAGTCCATTTAGTGCTGTCACTAATCAAAATGTGTATAAATTGTTGAATGGAAAAATAATTTGCTCAATAAACTTCTACTCTAACTGCATACAATAAAAACTTTTTTAAAAATAGAAAAAAATAAACTATGATACTAAGTACATTTAAATTCCAGCATATAAGAAGCTAGAGAAGAAAGTCAAATACACTCTTGGGCACACATATCAGGAATTATGGGAAACTCAAATGACTACTCAAGGCTACTAATATCTGCCTACTTTTCAGTGATGGATTCATTGTTTTTTTGTTTTGTTTTGTTCTCTTTTCTTTTCTTTTGCAGCTATTTACTCCCTGATGATAGCAAAGCTACCAAGCATAAAACGCTGGTTATAAAAAAAAGTGTTAACCCTCAGTGGAATCATACTTTCATGTTCAGTGGCCTGCATCCACAGGACATAAAGAATGTTTGCCTGGAACTTACTGTCTGGGACAAGGAAGCCTTTTCCAGCAACATCTTCCTAGGAGGAGTTCGTTTGAATTCTGGAAGTGGTAAGAGACTTAGTATGGGCCCTGAGATAATCTGTGACAGGGAACAGGACAGTGGCGTGGTTTCTTGGGTGAAATACGTAATAGATGTATATGTAGTTGCAGTTATATCTCACTCCTTAAATTACCATGAATGCTTTATTTCTTTAACTAATTATCTGTTCATTGTTAAAATACTAATATTACTACTCTAATCTTGTATCCTTTGGCTAGAAATTTTGGAGGTAGAATGGTTATTAGACCATAATTTACACTTTAGTTTGAGTGAGTTTCAAGCACTTCAAGTTTTGCTAGGGAGAAGATCATCAAGACAGCACAAACTTCTGATAGTTAGGGAAGGGACTTCCAAGATCAACTTTACTTCATTCTCTTCTTAGTTTTGCCTAGCACTTATAGTGTTTATTTGTACTATTTACATTTAAAGGACATACTCCCTAAAAAAAAAAAATTTAGAACAAAATTCATCTAGTGTTGTTCAAACAGGTCATAGAAACACACCACTGGTGAATTTTGGAAGAGGTAAAAAAAAAAAAAACAAAAAAAAAAAACTTAGAAGAGGGGAAGTAGTAAGAGAACACATTGTCCTCCAAGCTTTCATTATCTCATAATGGGGAACTCAGGGGGAAAGGGCCGATATAGATGTTCCGTGTGCACCAAGGTCAATGTTCCTAAAGAGAATGACCCCATCCCTATAAAGCTCTATTGATAGAATAAGGGAAGCTGGAAATATCAATGTCACCAAAATGATAAAAACTCCTCAGAATAGAGAATTGGCCTTGTTAGAAAGTGAAAGTATCAGAGTCCAGTTCAGCCTGTTCTTCTGTCAAGTCAACTCAGTCCAGATGAATCAGTTCTTTCTCTACCAAAAGGAGAAGTAAATGAGCCTCCAGGACCATCCTGATTTGTCTCTCATGATATAGGCAGAAGAGAGTAGTACAAACTGCAAATGATGCATGCCATTCTAATACCGGTCGCTAGACATGTTGACTCTGGTCAGAAGTCCCCAACCCCACATCTTTTTCATAAGATGACTTTCAGAGCATCACAACATTTCATCTGCGAAGTGTAATGCTCCTTTTCCCTTTTATAGGTGTGAGCCATGGGAAAAACGTGGATTGGATGGACTCTCAAGGGGAAGAACAACGCCTTTGGCATAAGATGGCCAACAACCCTGGGATTCCAGTAGAGGGTGTTCTCATGCTCCGTTCCAGCATGGGGAAGCGTAGGCTTTGAGAGGACCAGTTCTCCAAGAATGAGGTCTCCAAGGACTACTTGAGTATTGTTTCCTATCAGCCGTAGGCTTGGGAACTAAAATTCTGAGTCCCGGCCATTTCTCACCCGGCCATCTCACACAAGGGCAGAGATGGCAGTGTTCTGAGCATTTAGGACCTTGCTGAATATCTAAAAGATCATGTACCTTGATATACCCATGGGCCAGGAACTTCTTGGCTGGATGATAAAAAGTACACTACACGATTGTGACAAGTCAATTGTGCAATGATTCATAGGCTTTATACCATAAGTTAAGTAGCACAAGCTTACTTAAAATGACAGTTGAAATTGGGGGTTTCCAGCTCTTTTCAAATCATGAGTTACTTTGGATTTTCCCAAACAGTTTGGTAAAGAAGGGAACCACTAAGAGCATAGGTAACTTGGAGAGTAAGAAGGGAAATTGACTAGCCTTCATTCACCTTAGGATCCCCATTATCCAAAGAAGCCATGCTGGAAATGGTGGCAAAGAGTGATGAGGTTGTGTAACACCTGTATATCAGCCTTGTGTTGTATTAACCAGGTAAGGTTTCAAGATGGACAGACAAGATTTTCTTTGGTGACTATACAATTTTATCACCTAAATAAGCCCACGATGAGAGTGAAAGGAGCTAAACAATTACCCAGGACAACAGATGTAGACCTGGGCAAATTGGGATATAGGGTCATTCTACTTGTGACCTGGCTATTAGAGAAGTCTGTTGTAAACATTTTATAAAATGTCCTAAGCCATTAATTAACTAAAGGGGATAAGAAAGAATGACCAATGTCTACATCTTTTCCCATTTTGTTTATTAATGAGACCAGTTTAATGAAAAGGGAAGTATATTCTGCCTGCGGTGGTTTCACTTCTGCCTCTTCTACTCTTTTATAGGAAAGAGTCATGAACTCTGTTTTCTCTCTCCTTGTCATTTTCTCCTTTGCTATGTTTTTGTTCTTCTTGTTATTGTTGCCTTATGTATAGGTTAGCAAATGCCACAATAATACTGAGTAACAAACCATCCCAAAGTCAGTGACTCAGAATGACAATCTTATATTCTCATGGTTATACAAGTTGGCTGTGAAAGCTCTGCTTCCTGCTACGGGCCTGAGGATCTTGGTTTATCACTCATGTCTCATCCTCTTTGGACCAGAAGCACAACCGGTGCATGTTCTTCATGTTGATGGCAGAGATGCAAAAGTGCAGAGGTGCACTGCAGCAGTTAATTTGAGCTCCTGCTTTTGTCTTGCCTACTGACAGCTCTGGTAGCGTAGTGGTTACGAATCGGACTGCTAACCTCAAGGTCAACCATTCAAAATTACCAGCTGTTTCGCAGGAAAAAGATGAGGCTTTCTGCTCCAGTAAAGATTTGCAGCCTCGGAAGCCCTGTGCAGGGTCACTATGAGTCGGAACCGACTCCAAGGTACTTAACAACAACAACAACTGACAGCTCAGTGTTCAGAGCAAATCACATGGCCAAGCCCACATTCAAGGAGCAGGGAACACTTGTACACTCTGCCCACAAGGAAGTCATGGCAAGAGTGAAGATGTAAGAAGGGATGGAGAATTAGGGGTAATCATTCAATCTGTCATACCTTGTTCAAGCCACAACACAGACACAAAGGTAGCTAAAGTTAGATGGGGCCTCGGGCCTGTCTCTTTATTTTGTATATTCAATACTTGAAGTCCAGATGAAATGACTTGCCCAAGGCCATAGAGGTTGTGACGGAACCCTGCCTTAAACCCAAGATGTGACCCTTTGGCATGATCCCTTATTTATTAGGGTGAGCAGCAGGAAGTGCACATACACAGTCTTCACCTGGAGTCATATTCTAGCCCCTTGTCTCATTCTTTTCACTTGGATTGGTATAAAATTATTAAATGGATAAAAACAAATTTCATCAAATAATATCATTAATAAAATACCAAAAGACAAAGTCAATAGCATTTGTATCAGGGTTCTGGGCAGACTTGGAATTGACAATAAGCACTATTTGCTGGATCCCTGAAAGCTTCTAGGAATCTATGGGTGGATGAATACATTTAGCGTTATTTGGCTAAGCTTCATGCATGGCCTTTATATGTGTGAATGCCACATTCTGCACCACACACCATAAGTAAAGAACTCTTTCCAATCATCTCTTTAGCCTGGAGAATGGAATGCCCATAGATCTGGAATACAAGAGACCTGTGACTCTTCCAGAAACTAGTTCTGTGGCCTTAGAAAGCTCATAAAACTGTGTTGGTTCCCTGTTTTCTCATGTTTATAAACGGGAGAGAAATAGAGCCCTTTACAAAGAGAGCCATGAGATTAAAAGAAAGATATTGACATTCAGTTCAGCAATTGGGCAAACTATTAATTCATGTCAAGGATTCGGATGGATGTCAAACTTCATGGCTGAAGTGAAACACCATCTTGACTCTGAGTAACTCAGGCTTTTAAGGAACCTTTGTGTAAATGAGTAACCATAATACAAAGTGCACAAAGTGATAAGTGCTATAATAAATAGATAGAGTACTGGGAACACAGAGGTAGCCAACACTCATTCTGCTTGGGAAAAGCAGTGGGGATAAAATGACTCTGAATAGCTAAATGATTTTTCCATCAGCAAATGGTAGGATATCTAGAATCACTTTCAGGCTTATTCTAGCTGGTTTCATATTTCTAGGCTTCTCCAATTTTCAAAACTGATGTAAGAATATACTTAGCATTATTTTTAGTAAACAATTTCAATATTGTTTTAAAATTGGCCATTTCATTCCAGAAAATAGAAACTATATGTCGGTTTGAACCACAAGGTCGGCAGTTCAAACTTATCAGCTATTCCTCAGAAACCCTATACAGGGTCGTTATGAATTAGAACCAACTCAACAGCATTTAACAACAATGAGAGGCCTGGTAGCACAGTGGTTAAGCACTTGGATGCTAACTGAATGGACAGTGGTTCAAATCCACCAGCTGCTTCATGGGAGAAAAATGCAGCAGTCTGCTCTATTTAAGGTGATAGCTTTGGAACCCCAAGGGGCAGCTCTATTCTGTCCTGCAGGGTCCCTGGGAGTCAGAATCCATGATGACAATGCGTTTGTTGTTTCCTTTCTGTGGGTGCTGGTGTTAAGTGTAGCTGAGTGAATATGGTGCTTTAAAATTTTTTTCTTTTTAACTCACATACTTTCTTTTTCACCCCTGTGCTATCTGGCTTAACAACAGAAAACAGAACATGTATGATCATTATTACTTCCCACAGTGGAAAAATAAATTGTCTTCGGATTTGATGTGACTCATTCTGTCTTCAGTGACATTTTTAGGGGAGATTAGAGGGTGGCAATGGTGAAGTCCAGAGACATTTCTAAAGTCAACACATGGATGTGGAGTTATTGACTAATATTAAAGATGACAAAGTAAATTCTAAAACCTATTAACTTGAATTAAAGAAAAGCATGACCAAATGGATTCAGACCTTTGCCACACTTAAAGCAATTCCCTGTGTTGTTGTTTCATAATATCTAACATCTCATTGAGTATTTCTGTGATGCAAAACCCAGGTATGCAAAAGTCCATTAGTATCTGTTGGTATTGCTATCAGAAGTAAAAGGCAAATTGATCTTTATTTCAGGCAATCCATGTGAATAGCACAAAACTCAAATCATTCAAAATTGTCCTCTCTCTCCTTCCATATCAGAACAGATCATCATTCTTATAGTGATTGGATATTGCATTATATAGATATGCTAAATTTATTTAACCAGGGCTATCTAGTCCTGGTGTGGCACTGTGGGTTAAATGCCCTGGACTACAAGTTCAGTTTGAACTGCAAGGTTGGTGGTTCAAGCTCACCAGCTGCTCTTCAGAAAACCCTACACAGGGTTGTTATGAGTTGAAACAGACTCGACGGCACTTAACAACAACATCTAGTGCCAGATTGAATAGTTTAACTTAGCTATCTATCCTCTCTGGCTTTTCTAAGCGTTCTTTCCTTCAAAAATTAACACTTTGAAATGCAAAATGCATTTACATTTTACCTAACATTTCCACTTTGGGGTGTTTATTCCTATAGAAGTAGATGTGTATGTGAGATACTAGTACACACAGGAATTCTGGTGTGGCACTGTAGGATAAGTACTGGGCTGTTAACCACAAAGTCAGTGGCTCAAAACCACCAGCCACTCCTTGTAAACCCTATACAGGATCTCTATAAGTTTGAACAGACTCAATGGCATTTAATAAAAACAAAACCAGTGCAAACAAGGGGCTTAATTTCAAAAGGTTGGAAACTCAGTAACTCCTTAATAGAGGTCTTCGGTGACATCAATACTCGTGATCTTTATTGCTCCATCTCATTCTTGTTTTCTGCTCATTTGGTACACAATTGTCAAACATTGGAGTCTTTGGTGATTGGCTGTTATATTTCCTCACTTTATACACTTCCCAGCCATTTTCATACACTGTGTTCCCATGGCTTTATAATCATTTATGTACTTTTAACTTCAAATTCACTTCACAAATCCAGACCCGTCCTCTCAGCCCCAGACCCAGATTCAATGTTCTATATAATACCTCCACTGGGTTAGCTCACATTTTTAACACATTCAAAACATAACCCTTCATTCCACCCTTTCCCTCTCACCCACATCTTTCTGATTAGTTGTATTCTACCCGGTACTACCATTCACCTGGTTACACTAACAAGACACTTGGCAATAGTCTTTGATTTCTGCCTCTCCCTTCCCCTGGTGTGAAATCAATCAGGAAACCATATTGATTCTACCTCTTAAATATCTCTAAAGCCTTCCAGTTCTCTCCATCTCCATGGTACCAGTGTAGTCCAAGCAACCCTCACCCCTCTCCACAATGATTGCAATAGTCTCCAAGCTGCTCTTGCCACTCCCTCAATCTATTCTCCAAACTACATTGGAGGTGGTGTTAGTTGCTTTCAAATGGGCCTCAAATCATGGCAACCCCATGTACAATCAAATGAAATGCTGA